ATACAATTGGGTGGGATAATTCTAAAATTATCACCGCTAATCGCCGCTACCACCAGTGCCTTTGTTTTGAAGCTTGGCAAATCAACTAGGTCTGATTGTCCACTTGGTTGCTGTGTGAGCTTTAATATATCAAATATACACGCTATGCAAAACGAGCATTCTTCTGTAGGGATTGGTAACGAGTTTGAACCAAAACGAGGTCGGTCAGCCTTGCACAAGTGTGACTATACCGAAGTTTTAGAGAGTTGTGAGTTATTGGTAACTGTTTTAGACTGAAATATGAGCAATTCTACGCTTCCCAGTGCCAAATATTCACTTGACCAAACTTCAAAAACATGTAGTTTATGTAGGTTGTAAACAATCTACTGACAGTGGCCCGAGAAACTCCAAATAAGTGGGCTATGTGGTGGTCAGCAAATCCTCTTCTTAGCCTACACATTACAAGGAAAAATTCATCAATTACTGTCAATCTCCTTGGTCTGCCACATTTTCTCTTTGGGGTTTCGTCATCCTGATCTTTAATGTTGTCCTCATTAACCTGACTTTGATAAAAATCTGCTTCCACATCATTCTTTTCCAAAGTGTGATATCTCAAATTTTCTTCTTCATCTCTTGTATTAATTCATATACTTGAATATTGCTAAAAATGTACGATAATTAGGAAAACCAGTATAAAACGCAATATTTTCATCAGATTTTAAGTTATCTAGGGTGAATATCTCTTGCTCTGTGTGATGGAGTTTGTCCTGGAGAAGCGTACACTCTTTTTGTAATTCATCTTTCCCTATTTCATTATCAACTGAACAAAGTCTGAAGTGATTCTTGTCGTTCTGAGTCGAGCTCAGCCATTAGTAACTTGTTTGCTTTGGCTGATCGTTCTAACTACAGTCGAAGATCCTGAAATTGAGATTCAAGTGCATATATATATTTTTTTTAAGTTTAGCATTCTCTGCTTGTGCTTCTATAAGTTATTCTTCTGTTGTTACTGTTTGGCGTTTCGTAGGCGATTTTCTTTTCTTTGGCGATGCCATATACCACGAGAATTTTGATGGGATGCTACCAGGCTTCAGTGTTATAATACCATTCAATGATTTTTTTATGTCATTTTTCTTGAAATGACGAGAGCACACTTTAGTCCGACGAGTTAGTTCAAAATTTTTTCCGGGATCTCTTCGAATCGCATGGATCCATTTCTTTCGCAAAACTGCATTCTTCGGGAAGTTAAAGAATGAAACTTTTTCCCCATCTGAATTGCGATGGCCCTTAAAGGTAAAATTAGGAACACAGCAGTGTGTAGGCATTTACAAATGCAAAAAAAAAAAAAGGATTTCGAGAAAATCCTTTCTAAAAAAGCGTACAACGAAATGGGGATGGCTGACCGACCTCGTTTTGGAACAAAACTCGTTACCAATCCCTACAGAAGAATGCTCGTTTTGCATAGCGTGTATACCAAAGTTTGAGGTTACCCACGCAAATTGTTACTCGAGACCCTGGTAACTAAGCGTATGCATTAAGCTCTAAAAAATCACAGTTCTTATCGCTTAATTGTGAAAACTATTGCACATATTTTACTGTTACTCCTGGTAATAATCCATAACGATTATCATTATTATTTACCACTGTTATTGTTATAGTCATGGTTATCATTAGCTTTTTTAAGGCTGTGATATTCCTCATCGCTATTCATTAAAAACTGAACTACTGGTCCCGAGGGAAACAGATCATTTTATTTCCTTCAAAACTCAATGATTCCCGATGCATTGAGATTCAAGGGAAGGAAATGGACTGTTCTCGGAGGGGCCAGTCTTAAACTGACTTTCTATATGGCATAAGGATGACCCTACATTAAGGACGCATTGTGAAAACCAATCAGGGAAAAAAAGAGAATATTACTCGAGAGTGCAAATTACGGGAATGCTAAAATTGTGTCGCCATCTTCAGTCACGCCCTTTTTTTGAGCAACAAGTTCAACATTTGATGATTTGTATCATTATCCTCATAATTTTCATTTACTTTTCAAAAGGCCGGAATCGTAGAGCCTGGAGGGCTATACGGCGGGGAATGTGGGAGTGGAGGAAGAAGTCATGTATTAGATTCAGGGGAAGGAGGAGAGGTGAACGTGCCTATGTCTACTTTGTACCTGGTAGAGGGTGAGTCTTTAAGAGTGCTTTTTATTGATAGTCTGTTAAAAAAGAGGTAATTTGGTAAGTCAGCCGTTAAAAATGATTATCTAGGTTTGTCTCAAGAGCACATCAAAAAACAATTCTTATTTATTTATCGTCTTTTAATGAAACGATCTTGTATTGGTGATAAGTAAAGATTAAAGGAGTTAGTATCAAAGGTTGTTATGTAAGAAACAAAGCAGAAAATCAGAGGCAGATCGGGGAGAAGAAGCGTATCAGTGTTTAATTAATATTCGAATATTAATTGCCTTTTATTGCTTAGTAACAATACTGAAAAATCAATCATTAGTCGTTGATGACCATAGGGGTTAACTTTCCTAAACAGAGTTAAATTCTTGTTTTAGTCAGTAATTTTTACCGGCGGGGACGGTATCACGAGTCTGAGTGTTACTCAGGCATAACTGAAAAATATCGTTGAACTCAGTAAAATGAATTGAAATGCAACAGGAGATCGCTAACATTACAAAACCGAAACGGTAAAGGGCTTTTAAACTGTATCATTATTAAAATCAGCGAAAGTCGTTACAAATCAATATTAACTTCCATCTTGGCTTCTTGGCTTTAACATCACCTCTTAACTATGCTTACCATCCGGGGGAAAAGATATTGAGGAAATAATTAAATGATATTCACCAGCCGTACTGGGAAAACATTGTGGCTGAGGTATAGGATGCAGTACGAGGCTGTAAGTGAAGTAGAATCTTCTAGATTGTGCTTCGAAAAGTAGCATATCATGCTTCTAGCATTGTTGGTTTCTTCTTTTCCTTTTTCTTTTTTTATTTAAAAATTATGCTCAAAATCGTGCTCGATTATTAGACCACCTTCTCCCTAAGTACATTTTTCAAACAATATAGACACAAAACAAGTCTATATTATGTATTTACTGTTGGTAAAACATCATGATGCTTCCTTCCTTATTTGAGTTGCATACTTGCTCTGATAAAAAAAAAAAAAAATTAACCCCCTGGACACTATTCCTGACTAAAAGCAGCAACTGTAGCTTTGTCAAAATGTTCGATGTTACCGTCTCGTTTCCCTTAGCTTGGAGGCCATTTTGTCAACTGTGAAAGCGGGAACTGGGACCGACGCAATCTTCACTTCTGGTTTCTCATGAAAGTCCTTTTGACGACGAACGACTCATAAGTTTTCAAACCTCCTTCCCCCTAGACATTAAAAAAGCCAAATCAGACTGAACCATGGAACGGAGTTGGAAATATTCAATCTTAAAGACCAAGCAAGTCGTGACTCTCGTAGTGTTCCCTTCGAAAAAAATGAAAATATGCTAGAGCTGCATGTGACAAAAGCAAAAATCATGCTCATTTTTCCAAATTTGCCAAAATTATGCGAGAACAATCTATACGGCCTAACCGTAAGCCGAGGGTGGTACGCAAGACAGAGGGTACAGTTTTTCCCTATACGGACCGACGTAGGCTGGTGGATAACATTTTGATTTTCTCTAAACCTTTAAGATGTGCGTATCAAAAGAGTCCGAATGATTTAATTAATTACGGTAAGATCCTCCATGAACTGAATAATCTTTTATCGAGTAGATGGTAGAGAAAAACAGACTGAGATAATTCTAATTAAAAAGAGAGGCTTCTCCAAGAGAGTTTTCTTTGCGTATGCCAAGGATTTTGTTTTGTTTGATTTTTTTATAAGTTTGTAACGATCGGCCTTCTGATACAATGAATATATGAAGTTCATATATTTTACATTGAATATGTGAAGTCCATATATTCGGCCTTCTCTCAATCAGAGAGCGCATTAGGATGCTTTGGCCGGCTAGAAGATAAATAGCAATACTAGCTCAATTTTCCTTCAATAGATGTTCATCGTATGTGGGGAGAACTGGAAGGCGCCAAGCCCTTACTCTTGCTCGTGGATGTTGGACCAGAGGAATAGTAGCTCATGAAATTGGTGAGGTTGCTTTAAATTCCATTTAAAACACAACAGTCCAGCAATTCATTTTCATTGAGGTGTCATTTTGAATAAGCGACCCACTCTGACTTTCCTTTCATTCTGTCTGCAGTAATCATTTAATTCACAGAATATTTTTGGTAAAGCCACTGCACCTTGGGTGTCATCTTAATGTTACTCACAGACTCAGTATAAAACAACAACGGTTTAATTGCTTTTAGTCTTGAATGTACATTTTACGGAAAATTCTCTGTGACCACGAGGTCCCTGTCTAAGAATGTAAAATCACTGTCCTAGTGCTCATGCGTAGTGTGCTAAATTTAGTACAGAAAACTGACGTCATGACACAGGGGTGAGTGAGATAAAAGAAACACTACATTTTATAAAGTCCTCCCTTCACAATCTTTTAGTAACAAAAAATCCACCCTCTTCCTCCTTTAAAAAACCCTTTCACCCCTCTCCCCCGTCACGATTAATAATAGGGACCTTAAGAAACCACGACGGCGACGGCAACGAGGACGTGGAAAAACAAGAGATCTAATCGGCAGAACAATAGCCCAGCACGTGCGTTTCGAAACTTTGTACATTTCTTAGCCGTCCTATGCAAAACAACAACGTGAAATCGCCAAAACTTGCGTCGTCTGCGAACCGGAACCGCGACGGCAAATTATTTTATTTTCCATTTGGAACTCAACGGCTACTTTATACGTCATGCTGAAGTTGAGCTGTGGCGCTGTATGAGACAGTAGGCTCCTGCAGGCATTTTTCAAGTTCTAACTAAGAGTAGAAATTCATTTTTTAATCGAAGTCTTCCTTGGCGTCGCCGTCGTGGTTTCTTAAGGTCCCCAAATGAGCCAACACTGTGACTAATAGACTAATATACTTAAGTGTTATTAAGTAAATAATCTACATCTTGTTTTTATCTTAGGTCACGCTCTGGGTCTCTGGCATGAACAATCTCGTCCTGACCGGGATAGATATGTCAGGATATTGTGGCAAAACATCCAGCCAAGTACATCTTAGTAGTGCATAATATATTTTAAAATAATTTTATTCCTGTTTTGTGTTTCTTTTTCTTTGTTCGGTTCCCTCATTTACTCTTAAAAATGTAATTATGTAAATTTTTCTATACATTGGTGTAACCATTTAAATTACGATTGGTTATACAGTGTGTGCACGCAGCTAATTCTACCTAACAAAGTTTCCGTCCTGTTATCTGCTCTTTTTGGAGGATTTCACCCCCTTCTTCCCATCCCAGAATTAAAAAAAAAAAAAAAGAGACAAAGAAAAAGAAAAAAGGAAGAAAGAGTGGTAGTGATCTCATTCGTGAGAAAACATCTATAACACGTGTGAATCTCGTGGTGAGGATAAAAATACAGTTAACTGATTTTCATCGCCGCACATAAGCCAAGTAAACGAAAGTCTTAGGCTTCAGTAGATGGCAAGAGAGATGGTCTCGTTTCCAAGTAGAATTTAAGGGAGACGGTGTCGTTTCCAAGGGCAACCTCATCCAATGGTTGTCAATTGTCTGAGATGATCATGAGTCTACCTCAAAGGGCGGGTCTCGTACCAGTAGAAGATATGAACCAATGATTTTAATAATCTTAGAAATGCATTCAATACACCAGAGAGAGTCTCAATCAGGTGGTGACTGTTACGGCTAACGGTAAATAACTTTGAGTAGTTATTTTTTTTTTTTCAAAACTAGAGAGAGAGTCTTGATGGGGTTCTGGCTTTTACCGCCCACAGAAAATTTCTTTGAGTAGCTCAATTTAAAACAAAGGGTTAAAATAAACCAGTTTTACGCCGAACGGCTAAATAATTTTTTGCCCTCTTATCGCTAACAGTTATCCCCGCTGAGACCCTCTAGATATTTCCTTAAATTCGTGGTAGTGAGCAGTGGATTATTATAAAATTCTGTTCTGTTCTGTTCTGTTCAGTTATAAAATTCTGTTCTTCAGTTAAAGATGAAAAAAAGGCAAATGTCATGGGTTCTTAATCAAGCGGTTTTCTTTTTAATCGTTTATTTGAATTTTAGGAGCGAAGCACAACTTCAGGAAGCTGGGCCGTAAAGTCATCAACTCTCTTGGTTTTCGCTATGATTATTATAGCGTGATGCACTATGGGCCGAAAGCTTTTTCCAGGAATCGCAGGCCTACAATTGTACCTAAACGACGGGGTGTAAGTTGCCAGAGCTGCATTTTTATCTTTTCAACTTTTTACCCATCAGGATCTGTCTTACACTGACATAACTATTTACAAAGACCTTCTCGAGGCTAGGTGAGAACTAAAGTGATGTGAAAAAGGCAACCCATCATTAAAATGCGACATTCAAATTAGTTAAATAAGCAATCCGTCGCAATGGAAAGTTTTGTTTGTTATGTTATACGTTACTTATACAGCTGATCGTGTAACAGATCATATTTGTGTATTTTGTTGTAGGTAAGGCTTCGCCGCACTCCCGTGAGAGTTAGCCGTATTGACAAAGAACAGATGAAAAGAATGTATAGAAAACCAAGAAGATGCAGAGGCTAAAGGAGCCAAAGACAATCGATGAGGTAATTCTACGTAATCGTAACGGTGACAGTACAGTTATTGCTTTTGACCGTTATCAATTTTATTGAAAGTTGATCTTGAGATTTTTGACATATTATTGTAACGAGTCTAGTGGTGTTATAAAAAATGTGGTCAAATGGCGGTTCGTTTTGAACTCATTACACTCTTTTTTTTTAATGAGAACGTCCAATAATAGAGAAGTAGCTGGCCATTCTTATAAAGATTTATCTTCAAATCGTTCCTGAAATTCCCTTAAAATTACTTGCAATAGTACTTGCAAAGATCAACGCAAAGATTGATATGAAAGCCATAAAAAAGACACAAAATTTTTACGATAAGGGAAGCACGTCATGTAATCAATGTTCTGTTAGATTATGACCGATTTTCAAGAAAGCTCTTCTCCGAATTAAAAAATAGAAAAAGAAAGAAAAAGAAAAAAACTAAAGAAAGCGCGAGTCCCAGCAAGGAAGAATGTAATTGAGGAATATAAAGTTAGTTAGGATCAGATTTGCAAAACAAAATTTCGCTTCGCGGACAGTCTTTTTATATTACATACGTGAAAAACTGTTGTTGGATCATTACTTCATAGATTCAGCACTGAGCACGGGAGCGTCGTGTTTCATTTTTCAAAAGGAAACAAACAAACTACAGATAAACAGTCAAAAGAAAGAGGGCTTTTCGTTCAGTCAGTGTTGATGTACTTTTTATTCTTGCAGGGTCTTTGAAAACAAACTGGAAATCAACCACTGGATTAAAATAGTGATCACCCTAGCCTAGTAGAATGGACTGAATGAATAAATGAATAAAGGTGTTGGAGACTTCTCTGCCTTGCATATGTTGTTTGAATTAGGGGAAATGGTGGTAATAATAGCAATAATAATACCTTTATTTATTACCCTCGGCAATAAGAATTACGGTAATACTACAGTAAAAAATTTCGAAATTCAAAAACTCAAAACACCACAAATATATCTACAATTCAGTTATGTCAAATTAAGGTTAGCACCTCTAAAAATAAACGATTGTTTGTTTCTAATAGTGCGTGATGCAGGTATTCTGATGTGTATTGGGTTCGTCTTACAAGATGTTAGGTTATGGCCATGACCCACAACCTTGTCTGATAAACGTTTACAAGGATGCGCTTCAGATTCTAGGATATATTTAAATTATTTCCCCGCCAATTTCTGACGCCAACTTACAAGTGACTCAACAGTATCCCTAGGGAGTTCTATGACATTTAGACATTTATTCTGCACACCCTGAATATATTCAAAAGAACACCATGATCTACTAGATCGAAGGCTTTTCGGAAGTCTACAAAGACCACATGCACGCCATTCTATGGATTCCCGGAATCTGTAGCGTTGTACCAGTCTTGTGTGATGCTGGCAAGCGCAGTCATAGTAGATCTGTCTTCCGTAGAAGCGTGTTGGGAAGCATTAAGACTAGGGTACTTTAGGTTAAGCTTTAGCTGGATCCTCTCCAACGCTTTGGTGACTTGTGGCAAAACTGAAAGGTGCCTAAAGCCATTGTTTATATCTGTCGGATTATCAACCTTGGGTACCAGGCTGACCAGAGCATGCTTGTAGCTGGTAGGGTACTTAGACTGTTCTATACTGGCACAGATAATATCGTGTACATCTGGTGCGAATTCTTCGTGAAACTGTTCAAGGAGCCACGAAGGCACACCGTCAACACCTGCTGCTTTCCTCGGATTCATATGTTTGAGCATAGTGTTGACTGGACCAATATTTGGAGCAGGCGGAAGTCTGTCTTTCAAGTCATTGGCAATCTCACTAACTGACAGTGCGGTTGGCTGTCGGTCCTTCCGCGGAGCAGCAAAAGCGTCAAGCAGAAGCTCCACTGTTTCCTGTATTTCAGCCTTGTTTGGCGCAGTTGGGGTTTTTGACAACTGCTAGGCGCCACAGAGCGAATACATATATTTAAACCACTTGCTCGGATTCTTATAACGGAGATCGCGGGCCTTTCTCATATGAAACTTACGCTTGGCACTGGATATGAGGGCTGCTACCAATTTACGCTTTTGTTGGTATTTTATCTTGTCACCTTTAACCCAAGCCCTTTGTCTGGGACGTGGTGTTTAGGATTTGTACAGAGATGGTATAAAAAAAACTGCTTTACTTGAACATAGATTACGTCAGAGAAACAATGCAAATATTAGAACCCTGGACAAACTTCTTTAGAGTGGAGAGAAAGTAAAATCTTGATTTGAAAGAGTATATATTTCTTGAACTTGACTCGTTACGTTTTGGCTACATAGTATATAGTTTGCTTGGACTCACTTTGCAACGTTATGCACTCAACTTCAAACGCACAAAATCCCCTTTTGCGAACGCTGAGGTTTTCTGAGCTCAAAGATTTTTGTAAACGTTTTATTTTCTCATTACATACGCTTGGATATTTGGCTATCGGCGAACACAGTTAACACTGAGGGCAAAAATGAGCTCCATCTTAGCGTAGAAGACACAGGACAACTACAACACCACCTCATTAACTTATTGTTATCATCGTTTTCCTCATTCTTTTGTCTTTTTGTTTTCTATTGACTTACGTCAGCTGCGTCTTCTAAAACAAGTAAGAGCCCGTCCCGTCCCTCCTCCGAAAAAAGGCCCCAATATCAACTGAGCACCCGCTATTTGTACATTGGATACAATATATATGAGACTTTACATCGAGACTAGCGCATACCAAGAGAGAATTAAGTCCTCTCTTGGGCACATTCATCAGAAATCGGTTCCCTTAAGGAAAAAGAAATAAAAATCTGGCTTCTAGCTCAACGCAGAAGTCGTTGATATACAGTTAAAATTAAATAAGGATTTTAAGATTGGTACACAGTCATTGAAAGGTGCTCAGTTTGAATATACAGGGCAAAAGACCTCTACTATGTGATTCGACGAAGAAAAAAAATAAATCTGTATGTTACAGAACGGACAAGAGATTCTTTTTGCAATCCGGAAAGCCTAATTGATTTCTGGCATCTAATTAAGTTTTCGTTCATTCCTCGGCCAGCACTTACATCCATTGCAGTCCATTGACCCACTCCAATCACTCAAATCGTTGTTATGAAGAGTGAATAAAATAAGTATTTAGAAATTTCTCGAGTGCTTAGTCATGCTGACTTACATGCATGAACTTTTTATGGAACTTTCCAGAACTTTTTGATAGGTTTTGTTGTTATGATGTAATTGTATTAAAAGAGTTATATTGTAAACTTCTGAAATGTTCCGGAATACACTGTAAATGTATATAAGGACTCGATCGTGTCAGGTAGAGGCAGTTGCTGTTTTTAGGAGTGACCGACTGTTTGGATAGATAGACCAAGAGAGAGACTTGTCGTGGAAAATTGCTAATTTCAAGAAAAATTGGAGAAACTGTGACACTGTGAGTTTGCGCAGTAATGAACTAAGATAAAGTTTGTAGAGGGGTTAAGTAGGTTATTGAGGATAGTTACTGTTAGTTTTGTCCATTGGAGTGGCTCCTAAGCAGTTGAGTACTTAGGACTATAGCGGAGCTCGTAGCCCGCGCAGCGTAGCCGCATAATTATACAAAATAGTAGTAGTAACCCATCAAGCCGAAACAATTTGGACTTATGACTGTACGGGTGTCCTTTCAAGGTGCTACTTTTAGCATGCGCGATCAACTGTACCGCGGGTACGCCAACGACACGGCTTTAGTCTTGTCCAGCGGGCGTTTGAGCACAATGCGTGAGCTACATTTGTACATAACTGAGGAGAAACTGGGTTCGAGATGATTTAAGTGGATGGTACGTTAAGCATGCGCAGCCGAGAGCCGTGCGGGCTAATCCGCGCAATGGTATCCGAGCTGGAAAAAAATTGCGAGCTCCGCTTTTAGGCTTGGCTAAATCTATATATTAGTTTTTTTCTATCGGTTTAATTATACCGTGGCGCTATTAAAAAAAGGCCTTCAACTCAAACCCCAACTAGAATAAGATGAGTGTTTGTTTTGTGGCAACAAATGATTTCGGTGTGGAGCTTGTACGTGCCACACTCAAAACGTAATATCTAAGCAAGCCCATCTGTATTGAGCTCGAGGTTACGGCCAGCAGGGTGCATGGTCAAGGGCATCATCATGTTCAAGGGCGAAGCAAACATCATCGTAAAACTGCATAAATCAACAAAATGATGTTAACAGTAACTTCAAAACACAGCATTGCGTCTATACTGTATATTGTTTTATAGATGATCCTCTTTGTAGATATTTTTTTATAAGACGTGAATATACTCTTTAAGCTACCTTCTGCTGTTTCTAGGTGCCCTGGTATTAAAACATGGTAATAATAAGTAAATTCACTCGTCATAGGATTCTAATTGTTCTAACACAGAGCTGATGCTGTATAGCTTAAGTTCCGAACCGACCATAAACAAAAACCCCTTGATAAGGAAAATAAAAAAAGCTGCAACAAAACGCAGCCGTAGAAATAAGCGATCTTCCTCCGAATCCTTGACGAAAACAAAGATATCATTCAAGGTTTTAGGAGGGTCTTCACGGGGTAATGGCTCTTTTGACTACAGGTTAAAATTTTGGCTATTTTACGGCTAACAATTAACACTACTCCATTGTTGTCACTAAACCTTTTTGGTGCATCTTAAAGACTATCCGTTAAATGTGGTCAAATTTTTCACCTAACGGCAAAATGTTTTGCCTGTTTTACGACTTAAGGTTAACCTCATTGGAATCCTCTTTTAACTCAGTACTAGTCATATTTACACTCTAATCCAATTGATTATTTTATGATAATCATTACAATCACTGAAACACTCGTAAAATACTATTTAAAAAGGAAATTCATTCGTGTTTAGTGCTCGTTAAGGATAGACAATCTAGTTTTCTTTATCAGCAAAGAAAACGAACTATGATTTATTGCCTAAAGAAAGGTGCAGCGGTGGAAAAACACAGCTTTGAGAGTGAGTGCGGCTTACATAATCATCCAACGGTCCTCTGTTAATTTGTTTTTTTCTTTATAGAACGAGCTATTTGAATATTGTAATTACAACCAATACCATGTCAACTCATCCATAGCCAGAAAATACCTATTGATCGATGATACAGAGACAATCTAAGCATACATACCACGGCCGAAGATGGGACGCGCCTGGCAACAAATTCAGTAAGGCTACAGTCAAAGAACTTCATGGTTAAAAAATTATTGGTAATTGCCCTTTCTTCCTTCTAAGTTCATCGCTTTCTACAAAATGTTCATTGAGAGAGAGAGCCATCCGTGTTTTATGTTACTTTCCAATTGATCTTTCAAAGAGTGATTTTATTAGCAGAGCACATTCTTATTATATAATTGACATAATAGACATTGAAATGTTCATTAGTGATAATCTAAATAGAATATTAAATCTCTCGAGATTCATGGTCATGACACTGAAACGAAGCAAGATAATTAAATCACCCAAAGACCGCCTAATCGCAAAAGATTCCATTTTATTCGCATCTATTTATTCAATCATTCCAGTGGAAATACTATATTGTAATATTTATCAATTGAGTGAAATCCCCACATCAGCTGTACAGCAAATATTTTGAATAGCTCCTAATTAGATAATACAAATGACACACACGGACCATTGAAAACACTGGCCATCATGGCATTGGAATTGCTTCTAATTGTCTCATAGAAGCGAATTTTAGTGATCAAGAATAATTTGGATGCGTTCAGGGTTTCATTTCCTTGGTTCTTTAGAGAACGTTAAGTAGGCTCTACCCAGGAGCAAGGAAGCACACTTAACCGCCTCCAGGTTAGCTCAAGAGCGCTGGATTATTGTGCGGAAGGTCGAGGGTTCGAGACCCGGCCAGATTAACACTCAAGGTCTTAAAATAGTTGGGAAGAATATGCTACCTTTCTATAACATCAAGAAATGGTTGGATATTCCAGTCATCTCTGATAGGGACGAATAAATGGAAGTCCTGTCACCTGCAAGGTTAGGGGTAGGAGACGTTAATTTCCCACGCACGAGATTACTGTGTGATGGATGTCCTCCCCTGGGGTGGCATGGGCGGGTTTGGTGGGTTGGGGTTGCGGTTGGTTTAGGTGGGTGAACCTAGTAGGGGACTACGTGTTCTATTGTTCTCTCGCCTGTACACTGTACGAATCTATAAATACAAATACAATACAAGTGTCATCAATAGTGTTTATCTTACCAAAATTTCCCTAAAGAACTAGTTTAGGCTCGTTTTAAGAAAAAGTTATTTTTAGAAACTCCTACAGGTTTTTTTTTTTTTTAATTTTCAAAGCAAGAGTTTTTGCCCGGCAGGATGTGACATCAAGACTTAAAGTAAAGGCTCTCCACATTTCTTAAGTTTTAAGATTTCTCCGCCTCACTTATCGCGCACTTTGTTTATGGTTCCTAAAGTAACACTCGTCTACTTCCAATACTTGGCAGACTAGAGACTCATTCTAAAACTCATAAAAGATGAAGTTCCTCTACATTCTGTTCCTGTGTGGGGGGGGCTAGTCGAACCACCTGATGGTGAGCTTTTTCCCAAGTAGCATCCACCTCAAATTTCCCAGATAGCTTAGGGTTTAATCAGGGCTTTTAAATGAAGTATTCAACACCTTATAGTGTTCTCCCCTTACTCCGATAATCTATTAAGATGGGTAATACTGGACAGAGCTTTTCTAACCACTAGAATCTGATAGTTTTGAAATCAAGGGTTTTTTATAAACCAAGAGAAGTTCATATGCGGAGTGTTTTAGGGCTATGGATTTCTCTATTAAAATATGAATCGTGTTTGCGACGTTTTTGGCACAAGCGTAATTGTCCAACGAGTTTATCTTACAGATATACGACTATCAAAAGTTCTCGTTCACTTCTTTTTTTTTTGTTGACGATTGAAAATGTACTGGTTCAGCAAAAAAATGCATGCTTAAGTTTTGACTCATCATCTTTTGTTCACAAAGCATGGAGGCGGGGGAAACCCCGATAGTTTTGAGGGAGACATGTTGCTCTCTAAAGGACAAATCATGGTCGCTAGACTTGGAGTTGGTGTAGATGGACAAATGGCGACAGCTGGAGCCATGAAAAACAAACGTTCACCGGGAAGTGTTCTGGTTTGCACTATTAAAGAAAGTCTTGGTAAGTATTTAGCCTCAAAGAAGAGTATCAATTTTAATTATAAATTGTAATTGTTGTTTTAAGCCCAATGTTTAAAAAATAGTGAAGAGCCCAGGAAACAAATATTATTATTTGTCTTTGATGATCTGAGCCACCCCTATTTTATGCCGTCTTGTGCTCTGTAATCAGGCAAATAGAGAGAGCATCGGCAGGCCATGCCTTATATTTGGCTCAAATAAACCGATTTTGCACGCTCGATCGTAACGAAGGAACATATTACTTGAGTGCTGTTTGTTTGTTTCAAAGTAATTCTAGTTTTTCGCAAATTAAGCCCATATTGGGGAACCAAGAAACAGAAGAGCTTTCATGTCTTTGCGACACGAGTTAGTTTAGCCTATTCAAAATTAGTTTTTTTTTAGCAGTTAGCTTAGTATTTTGCTCAAGTTATGCTCACGAGGACTAGTAATTAGAACGCCATTGATTTATGTCAGTTGCCAGTCGGTCGATTTGCTGCTATGTCCAGCCTCTGTCCATCAATTCCCTTTAATACCATTCCGTTGTCCAAAGGTAACCTGTATATTTGAGCACAAAACCCCAAGATGAGCTTAACTGTCTGCATCCGCACATTTTACATTAGGGACTTTAAGCAGTCAGGACGGCAGCGGCACGGAAGACGTCGATTAAAAGATGAGTTTCTATTTTTAGTTAGAATTTCGAAAGTGGCTGCATGTGTTTGCCGTCTCATAGGGCGCCAGACCTCAAACTCAACATAACGCACAAAAGTAGCGTTAAGTTCCAAATGTAAATTAAAATAATTTGCCGCCGGGTTTCGGTTCGCAGACGACGCAAATTTGGGTGATTTCACGTTGTTGTTTTGCAAAGGACGGCTTAGAAATGTACAAAGTTTTAAACGCAAATGTTGGGCTATTGTTCTGTCAAT